ATTTGTCTTGATAAACATTACTCATCTAGTTTATGAATGTACTGTTCATTATAAGCAAATATTATATATATATATATATATATAAAATATGATAATTCATTTTTTATTCATTGTTAGCTCATGGTACCTAAATCACAAGGATAAGGATGATTTTTTTTGTCTTTATTTATCTTTTATTTAAAGTAAAACATTTGAATACAAAAAAACTGAAGACAATGTACTCATGTGCTTGCTTCTTCATTGGATTTTGATAAATTTAGCATTAGACCTTACATTAGATCACAATCAAAAGTTATTACACTCGATGGCGAGTCTTGAGTAAAAGTGTCATAAATTACCATGGTCTTAGAAAATGATTTATAATAAAGCAATAAGCTCCAAAAATGTTGGTTTACAAATCACTATAAACAGTGGCTTCACATTGCATTTATAAAACTGTTACTACCTGGCAAGGTCTCATCAAATAAACACAGCAACAAAAATGTAATAATTTATTGATAACAAAGAATTATTCTTCTACTAAGAAATGTAGTTTCTTAGTAGAACAAGCTTCATTTTGTTTTTGTGGTCATTCTCCAGAGCACCACGTTTTATACATTTAAAAATATATTATTAATCTTTTTGTTTTGGGGTTCATTTTATATGCCAAATAACAAATAATATAACTGATTAATATATTAACTGATTCGCTAATCAATGAATTACACTCTTAAAAATAAAGGTGCTTAAAAGGTTCTTCAAAGCAGTGCCATAGAAGAACCATTTCTGGTTCCACAAAGAACCATTCAGTCAAAGGTTCTTTAAAGAACCATCTCTTTCTTACCTTTTTATAATGTGAAGAACCTTCTTTCGCCACAAAGAACCTTTTGTGTAACAGAAAGGTTCTTCATATGTTAAAGGTTCTTTATGGAATCATTTAGACAAAAAAGGTTCTTATTTTTAAGAGCGCATTTGGTGTATCTTATGGTTAAGGTCACAGTTATAAAAACTTAGGACATAAAAGAGACTTTTCCACTGACTCTGAAAAACATCAGAAGATGTCCAAGCAGAACAGTACCAAACAGAGATACCTTTATAATACCCTTTAGTGATCAGTATAAAAAAAAAAAGAGCTCTGAAATTCTATAAACACCTAAAATGACTGCCCTGCAGTGTGAGGAGCAGAACTCAGTGCTCTTTCACAGCTGGTGCTGAAACTCCATCCAAACCAACACCCAACCAAATTATAAAAATACAAATACAAAATTACAGTACATTGCCTTTTGGAAAGAAAGCCACAAAAGAAAATGAAACTCTATTTACAACTGAAAAGTGATTACAAACCAGAATACCCGAGCTGCGTGAAAAAGCATAAAGTGAGAAAGACATTAACCAAATACAGACTGAGTGATGATTGTCTAGAAAAGTGAAAAGTGAGAAAAAGTGGAAAAAAGAAAAGAAAAGAAAAGAAAAGAAAAGAGAGGACAGCACAGAGATGGCAGCCACCAGAGCAGAGACTGTTTTCTGTGCTTTCTGTGCCTGTGGAAACTGAATTTCCTGCTGCACTGTGACCACTATCGATCCATGCAACAAATCGCACCAAATTATATTTCTCAACCAAATCCAGAAAAATTAAGATATATTTTGGGAGAAAACTCCAGCAGTAAAATATAGCACCCTGCCATAAACACAAAGAGTCAGCCAGTGGACAAAACTAGTGTCAGAAATATTGTTACATCTTAACATGTCTGAATATGTACATTTATTTATTTATTTACATTTTGTTATTTCTTGTAGTTTATATTTAAAAAAAAGGTATTTATGCATTCATATACATTTATTCATTTGTTTTCGTTTATGTAATGATTATACAATCATTACAATACTGTACAAGGCAAGCCCATAAAGCTCATTTAAATTGAAAATTGAATTGAGAGGGAGGGAGAGACGGAGGGAGAGCGACCTTTTGCAATTTGTGAACATAGATCAAAAAAGATTACGGAGTGGAAAGATTGATCAGAGATGGATCAGAATTGGGGAGTCAGATGGCATCAAATACAGGCATTTTATTTTACAGACCACACTACAATTGGAAAAGCTAAAAACAGGCTTTGGGAATCAAAACATTTACCTGGTGTAGACCTGAAGCAAGATCCCTGAAAATATACAGCTTACAATTACAGTTAAGAGTTGTCCATATTAAGATAAATAGAAATATTTTGGATACTGTAATGCATTACGAGCCAATTAGCAAGCTGCTATCACGCAGAACTGAACAGCTTTCAGTAGAACACCGCTGGTACAGTACGTTAATTTGTTTCTATGCTATTCTGCTGCTCTCTGCTGGGTGGTCTGTGGTCTACAGTAGATTGACGCAATTCCATTTCGGTTTTGAATCAAATTTAAAGGTGGGTTGATTTAGTAATAATAATAATAATAATAATAATATGAAAACTGATATTTTTTCTTTAAAATATTTAATAATAATAATAATTTCAAAAGCACAAATTCAAAAAGTGCCACTAATACGGAAAAAAAACTGAAAAAGGACATTTATCTGTTTTAGGTTACAATGTTAATTTATCTATTTAATTATACAGAGTATGTTGCTTACTGTATGTTATTTATGTTAGTATGCACAGCTGGTGAAAACTGTGAAAAGAGTTTTCGTTTAAAAGTGGGGTTTAGAATGGGCTTGTGGTTTTAGAATTTCATACAAATGCATTACCACTGAAACAGCATTACATCTGAAATGACACATTACAGTAATAAAATGCATTTTAACTATTAAAGCCTGTATTTAAATGTTACATTTGTTAGGTGCATATATCATCATTAATTTCTGTAGCTTTTGACTTAATAGTATGTTTTAAATACACTGTCACTGATTTCGGTCCGGATTTAAATATTCAAATAAATAAAATATAAAATCTCTTATTTTGTGCAATATATACAGTTGTCTTTAATTAATGCCACTTTTGTTCTTTATTTTTAATGTAATTTCAGATTTCTGTTAGGGTGAGGCCGATGGAAAAGATATGGACCTAGATGCAGCTCTTAGCAGTTTAATAACAAAAACAACAAAAATGATGAAGAAACATATCTGCTTAAAAATGGGTAAAACAAGAAGTGAGGACACTAAAGGGCATATATACACAGAATAATGAGGAATTCAACAAGAAACAGGTGTACAACAATCAGTAACAATGGATACTAGTGAACAGAACATGAAAGGGATAGGAAACGCATTAAAACAAGGAATACAAACTAAAAGTCTATGAAAGCTAGCCAAACCAAATGGTCACAAGGCTCTGGGTCCTTTGACCATGGTTTGATTACTGTACAAGCTCCAAGCCAGAAGACTGTGGTCATTCTGGTGGTGCTGGAGGGCTAAGGAGAGCTGGCGACTCAGCCCAATGGGCAGAGCTAGTGAAGGGGGCAGAGCCAGGAGCCAGGTGGAAACAGCAGCGAAGAAGATTGGAGGCTAGGTGGGACCAGTGGCAAAGGAGGAGGAGCTTGGAAGCTGGGTGGGACCAGAAGAGAAGGAGGAGAATGGCTACTGGAAGAAACCAGTGGAGGGGGAGCGCTTGGGAACAGTTATGGACTAGCAAGTAAATGAATCCTGACAGGACCGGCAAAGGCAAACACGCCTCAGAGGTGGGAGCATGAGTGGGACTCCACTCCAGGAAGTCTAACTTAAACAATATTCCCTCCAGGACAGACACAGTTCAAAATAAATAGGGCTACATGCTCTAGCTCTGGGACAACCTTCTCCATCAGTGGAGGGTCCATGGAGGGCATAGGCTCTGGCTATTGCAAAATCACTTGTATTAGTCATTGATTTAATACAGATTAGATTTAATAGATTTAATTATCATTAGATTTAATACAGTCATGATCTTGTAAAGACCACCAACTGAACAGATATTATATTGTTAGCAGTGTTTTGTGAACATATAAAATGAGGGAGTAAATGTTTATATTGCTTGTCATTATATTATGTTTTTGGAAAATATAAACATATTTTTAAAAATTCAACCAGCTGCACTGAAATTGTCACAATCAGAGTTAGTTTCGGTTTTGTTTTCATGGACTGTTAGTTTGTATTCCTTATTTTCATGTGATCAGAACACAAGAAGCAGGAAGGAAACATTTGTTTGTTTCCATAGTTGTTGATTCTGTTGTGACCTATTTCTTGTTGGGTTCTTCATTATCCTGCATATATATGCCCTTACTTTCCTCTTTGTTTGGTGATGTCTTTACATATTGAAGCTGTTATGTTAAATTTTCAGCCAGTTTGGAATATCTGCAAGCTCTGATCCACCCGATCAGGACCAGATCTCTGTGTCTGATCGGATCCCCCTGACTGTGGAAGTGCCCATTCCCCACATTCCAGGGCCTGTCCATCCAGAGGACATCCCAGCACAAACACTTATGGATTCAGATTCGATGCCAAACAAAGACTAAACGAAGGGCATATATACACAAGATAATGAGGAACTCAACAAAAAACAGGTGCACAGCATAATCAATAACAACTGTAACAGTTGAAAACAAAGTAGTGTTCGGAACACTAGAAACAGAAAGGAAACACATGAAAACAACGAATACAAACTAATAGTCCATAAAAACGAAATCGAAACTAAATCTGATTGTGACATTTTCAGTGCAGCTGGTTAAAGTTTTTAAAATATATTAATTTTTTTCAAATACATAATAATATAATGACAAGCAATATAAATATTTACCCCCTCTTTAAATGTTTATATGTAAATCAAAACTAATACAAGTGATTTTGCAATACTAATTTTATCCATAATATAGAATTTTCATTGTTCAATTATACTTGAATTATACTTCAAAACCTGTTTTGTATAAATGTAGGTATTTGAATCACTACTAACAAGTCAGATAAACAAATATTTTAAGAAAAAAACAACAACAACAACAACTATTAAACATTATATCTGTAATTCTCTTTCAGTTAAATAATGGAAGACCACATTGTGTGTATACTGGGTGTATACCAGAGCTTAAATTAATTTTAACATTCAGTCTTTTCTAAGCATTTTTAACTATTTACCGTTAACTGCGTGATTTGAATGAAACCCTTTTGTAATTAAAGTTGAAAATGTGCGGATGTCATCAATCAGGTGTGCTGTAAAACACCAGCTGCTGAAGAAGTTGTGCCTTCTCAAGCTCCAACATGGAAATCTGTTGATTCTGCTGATTCACTTCCTGTATATGAAATCCACACAGTGCTTGTTATGTTGATAATAAATAGGACTGTGCAACAGAAACAAAAACAAATATAGCTGCAAGCAGCAATGACCGGGGTTCAAGCACATGAAGGCATTTAAGGTGGTATATTTTAGGGTCTAGGCCAAACTGGATGTATGGCTGATGGTAAAACACATCCAATATGGAGAATATGCTCACAGACACACACACACACACAC